GTGTTTTAGTACTAGAGTAGAATATTCAAGCCTCAGTGGTCAGTTAGGTTTGGGGGGGGGGGGGGGGGGGTCATGGGAAACAATTGCACGCCCTGACTTGGAGAAAGCTGTACAAACTAATCTGAGGAGAAACCTTCTGTAGGCTAAACCTCCACTATGCTGTGTAGTCGTTTGTTCTGACCAGAAACTACAGTACAATAACTTTAGAAATCGTGCGTAATTCATTTTCAAAGAACCACCCTGAAACGGGGCGTAATTGTGTTTCAATTTCCACGAAAGTGCGCAATGGCTCCAAATGAAGTTATGAGAATCACATTAATATGAGAGCGTTTCCACCGAGATATGCTGGGCTAATTGGAAATTTCATTGGAAGTATTAGTCGGAACAACGCTTCCTGTAACTGCATATCGCACAAATAAATAGAGTAACCGAAAGGAGGGGGGAGCAGTGAACTTCACACGGCGTTCAAGTGATGGTCAGTCGACTCAAGTGGACTTTCTGCTTCAGGAGTGCCAATAATGCGTATTATTATCATCACAGACGCGGCGGAGTAACCCACAAGGGACAGGTCACCGCGTCTACAAGACGGAGATAAAAAGTGAGCTGATCCGCTACTTCAGCGAGGACGCACACCGGACTTGGAGCACCGGATCATTTGGCTGCTTGTCCACTCTCTCCCTAAAGTCGGCCTGGAGGGGATCACCACAGATGCTCGGCGAATACTCATATGACTTCAGACGCTTTGATTTTTCCCACAGAAGAACAGACTTTAAGGGCACATATTTTTTGGAGCGGCAAAAGCAAGGACCACAAGTTGCGCACAGTTCTATATTTCCATGTTTGGACTCACGGAACCTTATCACACAGTTTGAAAAGGCTGTATCGGCCCAAAGGTAATTGCATTTTCATCATCCCATCACTTAGGCATATTTATTTAATCAAATATAAGCAATATTTTGTTATATAACGTATTGATGCTCTTGCTCGTGTGGTCTTTTGTATTTGTAATTTGTTCTTAACTGTCTTTTGTAAAAAAAAAAAATCTCGAAATTCCTAAATAAATAAAACACCTACGCCACAATACTTATGAACTTGTAGCCTATACTTCTATTGGTTTATGGCCAAAATAGCATTAAGGTTATTACTTCTTAAACGATTTTAAATAATGTATAGCAACATTGTCTGAACTACAATACTTTGATAACAATAGGCAATGATGCGGGATGTGTGACACAAAAGTTTGATAGAAGATAGTTTAGAGACTGATTAACAGAACAAAGTAAGAACATTGTGGTGTATAGGTCTATTTACTTGACACATGATTCCAACTGTGATTTTCTGTGAATGAAAGATGCATTTGGACAAGCCTGGTCCATCAGTCATCAGTTTAAATACTCCTTCGCCATGCATGTTCCCAGCGGGTGCAATGTGAATCTGACATCATCTTGACATTCATGCATCGATCTTTCTTGCAGGTCTACAGTTCAACTTTTTCCCCCAGAGGCGATTGGAGAAGTAGTTCACTTGTTCCTCTCTCTCTCCGCGGGAGCTATGAGCGGACTACGTAAGCACGTCACTATGGGACTGGTGCTACTGATGTGCACGCTGACAGGTCACTGCGGCGAGAGCGCGCCCTCGGCGGCCCCATCGTCTGCTACTGCAGCCGGCAGGGAGGCGCATCAGGACTTGAGGCCGATGATAGAGATCGTGAGATACGTGGAGCAGAGCCGGGGTCGCCACAGCGCGAACAGGGAAGCCCCGTCAACATCACGGACGAGGAGCTCTCCGGTGGAACCAAAGGATTTAAACAAATTGAAAACAGACAGAGGCGATCAGGTTGTCGGTGAGTGACATTGTCGTCTGGGCGGGACCCTAATGTTGGATGTCAAGAGGATGCTGTAGCCTCTAATGAAGGATGTAGCCTACTGGAATAATATTAATCAGCAAAATCATTATAGACTGATGGAACTAACACGAGATAAAGTTAAATGGTTACTGCACCACATTTAACTCAACACAACTTACCTTAAGTGCTATCTAGCAATGCAGATATTTGGTCTGAGGCAGAAATCTAAAAATCTGGAAACAAATTAAACAAAAAGCATCTGCATGGCTAGATACCACCGGAGGTAAGTGAGAAAATATGCTTTTCACTCATAATGATTTCCCGTTTCTTTGTTTTCGTTGGCCTCTCACTGGATGTCAAAGTTTACCCAGGTTTTAATTGACAAAATCACCCCAGTTCTAGGTGATGGGATTAATACCCACCAGTAAAGTAATGTTAGTCTTTTTTTTTTTTTAAGAGGCAAATGTCTGTGCTATTTAAAGGCAGCTATGTAAACCTGAAACTTATTTCCTATCTTCTCTCTTTCCACAGTCGTATTCCCCAGAGATCTCAGAAAGAAGGAGAAATTCCTAAAACATTTAACAGGTGAGGCCACTTCTGTGTCACTGGCATGTTATGCAAGAAACAGAGCAGGGAGGATGGCTGAAAGAAAATAATACAAGAAAAGTGAATGATAGCCTCACATACTTAACTATAAAACATGTATAATGCTGGAAATGTTCTCACAGCCTGCTGTCTTCCCTTTCAGGTCCGCTTTACTTCAGTCCCAAGTGCAGGAAGCATGTGTACAGACTCTACCACCACACCAGAGACTGCACAATACCTGATTGTAAGCTCCTACACACAGAGGAATGTCTCTCTTTGTCAGTCCAATGTCATCACACCGTGTGAAAAGCATCCACTCATACGCAGGTCTCTCCTTTTAATCTTCTCTTCTCAGACTTCAAAAGATGTGCTCGGCTTCTCACAAGACTAGCTGGCAGCCGACAGTGCACAGAGGGGTAGCACACACAAGGTACTGTAACATACTCTCCTCTAAATCAAACATGCTTCATGCTGTTTAGGGTTAAAGATAACATGCATACAGAGGACATATGGCTGAAGGGATGGTGCGTTACACCTGTTAGATATATCCAGGAAGGCCAGAGTATACTTTTCAAAAGATATATGTGACAAGTTGGAAGTGGTGGAAGAAGTATTCAGGTCATCAACCTGAGTACAAATAGCAATACAACAATGTAAAAATGCTGCTACAAGTAAAAGTCCTTCCTTGGAAATGTTAAAGTAAAAGTATCATCTAAATACTCAAAGAATCCAAAGCGAAACTACTCAATGCAGAACAATTCCCACTGTAGGTGTTAATTATTAAACTTTAAAAATATATATTTTTTGGTCATTTACATCATTTTGGGGGCACTTTTTGTACTTCATTTGAGTATTTCCATTTAATTAATGTATGTATACCTCTTCTCCACTATATTTCTGGGGGAAATATTGTTAGTTGCTTTGCTGATTACTATTTTTTATACTAAACACAAACACTTTACAAAAATTTGGCATCGCTTGAAATAACACTCATCCAATAATATGATAGTTCAAAAGGGGCCATTCTACATTACTTGTAATGCAGTATTTTCACATTGTGGTATTGCTGCTTTAAGACAGAATCCTGTGCAGGTCAGGTCTGCAGCACAGCTGCATGTCCGTGGTGATATGTGTGCTGGGTCGATACACACATGCCTCAGCAGCAGCACTGTGATAGTTTCGTGATTCTTTTTGACAAGCAAATATTTTGCTACGGGCTGCCAAGTTGGAGACAGTGCTGAATTTCACTTCCTCTTCATTGCAGGTTGAACGCAAACAAGTCCTCCACAAGAAAGAAAACTTGGGGAATAAGTGCCTTGGACAAGTGAGAGGGAAGCCTAAAATACTCTGAGCAGCCCTAACTGACATTAGGCACAGTATTGCCCATCAGTGAGGTCTGCTCTGCTACCTTGTGGATTAATGCCTCCCACCACTCTGGCTGCGCCTCGATGGATGTCTGTCACCACGACGGAGGCAATCAGCAAACAAAACCAGACCAAGATAAAGACAGTGAAACTGAGGAGTGGAGAAAGAAAGAAACAAGTGGCTGAGAGAACCAAACACTGGGCCTATTTTCCTGCTGGCATCCAAAAAAGATGTTGCGAAAACAAAAAAAAAGGGATTCCATATTTTTTATTATCTTAATTTCTTTCAGAAGAGAGCAAAATCCAAATGTAAGATATATTTTATATGACTTGCTTTCTGCGATTGGTTTGGTCCGTATGAGTGCTGTGGGTGGAGCCCATCCCTTCTACTGCTGCACATTATGCAGACAATAAGCTCTCACAAACCCCGGGCATCAGTCACGGCATAGTTTCACCCACTTGTGCTCACACTGAGAAAGAACTGTGATTAAATTATTAATTGCATTGACATTTCTCTGTGTCTTTGCGAGAGAAAAAACAAAGCAAGTGGCGGTTGTAAGTGCAGCCCTCCTGTGGATCTAAAAACTATATTTATATATTTGAGTTGTCATAAGGTTCCCCTGTACAGACTACAGGCCATATGAAACAAGAGAAATATGTACATACTGTAAAGCATAGGAGGAATCCACCCATCTACCATAAATTAAAGTGACTGCATTCATGAAATGGCTGTTAAATACACATATAAATTATAAGATTGGTACAAATATGAGTTGTCCTTGTCTTCTGGTGCAGTGTTTTCTATACTTTCCTTCTTGAAATGTGGAATGTTCCCTGATTGACCACATGACTGGGCCGAGTCCTGCGACTACGGTGAACTTCACGCTGCAGATCAGCAACGATAAAAACAGGAAAAAAGTTCGTTTTAAAAGGGCCGGTTCAACAAATTCCAAAACAACTTATTCTCTCCCTTGACTGGTGAAATTGTGTTTTTATTGTTATTTGAAATTTGACAATTACTCTATACAAAGACTTCACACTGAACATTTTTCACTGCCACTACTTTATACTCTAAAAGTATGAACATTGTTCACTGTGTAACCTGATTATCCAGGGCAATGTCTGGAACATAAGCCCCTGTGAATAACTAAACTGTAGTCTTTAGGTTATGTTTTAAGTATAAAAAGGATATGCAACATGCTAACTAGTGAGCTGTAGAGGTGTCGGTAGGTGGATATTCTACCATCAGACAGACCCAGGCTACTCGTTTCCCCTACTTTTAAGTATCGATCATCTCATCTAACTCCCTGCAAGAAAGCATATTTCCCAAACTGTCAAACTATTCCTTTAACTGAACTTGGAAACTATTATTTGCTTGAACCACAGTGGATTTGTACAGGATGTTTGGTCTGAAATATTCACTCCTTGCAGTGCTTGTGATAACAGGCATTAGGGAACGATGTTTGCCAAATGCGCCTTATTTCAGTACTGAATAAAGCAGATTGGACCACATTATGTCCAAAATTCTAAGAAGCACTTTTCGACTCACCCGGACCAGAAGACAGATACATCTGCTGCTTTTGAAATCTTACTCAATTAAACTCCGATTCGCATGCGAGCTCCTTCACAGTTGACGCCCTGCTTGACAAGTAAACCGCCCTAAAACTAAATTCTTTTACATTTGGAAACCCTCCAGTTGGTTCAACGGACCTTTGAGTCCACCCATGTTTAATGATATGCAGCCCTTTCTTAATGTCCACTCACTATGGTGAAACCACAACTCTAGCAGATGAATCGCACCATATGGTAATTTGTATTAGCGCTGATGAGTCCTCCCTCATGGGATTACTACCATCTAACAAGTAGCCAGTGGTGATTGGCACACAGCAGGAAGTCAAGGGAAAAGAGTGGGAACAGATTGAGTTTTCTTATAGCTGTTTTTAAATATTTATGAGATACACTTGAAATCTAATAATAGTAATAATATATTGTGTTAATAGTGCAGATAAAAAGGAGCTGTAATACCAAAAACGCAGTGCAACGAAAATAAGCCAACCATCAGGCGTCCAACAACATATCCAGACAGATTTAGGCTGGCATTACCTTTGACCTGTACACCTCAGATGTCCAGTCAACTACTATCATCTGAAGGATGTCTTCATACATAGAAACACTTAAGCATATTCAAAATGTAAAGAATAATGATTTGTGTGTAAAATAAGTCTCCGATAGTTTATTTTATTAATCACGTAAATTCAACAAACTTGTCCATGCAGCATCGTTCTAAATGTACATAATGTGTGGTTTGTGTAACATTCACAACACTGAAACCGATGCGTTTCCTGGTCATCCAATGACATCCACAAGAGCAGTTGTACTGACATGTGCTTGTGTGACACACTCAAATCATATTTGGTTAATTTTCTCTTGTTAATTCAACAGATTTAGCAAAGATCATTTAAGGTCTCATGTTGTTAGGAGTTCTTCTCCAGGAAGGCTTTGCAGCAGCGTGCGCACTGTTCGTACACCTTTTCAAAGTCTTCGTCACTCCCCTATGAGATAAAACAGGGACAAAAAAAAAAATGATGTAATAAATTACGTACATACATCTGTTGGATTTTATAAAATACAGTTGTAGATATGCAGGGCACATTCTGTGAAATAGTTTGAAAACACTAAATAAAACACACAATAAAACGTTAGTTTCTTACTCAACCATTAAATGAAATTGTTGGGAAACATGTTAGCTTGAGCACAACACTCAAATTTGGAAAAATAAAGTACTTTTCTGGTTTTGACGTTTTGAAGCGGTAAGCTTTTACTGAAATCTTGATCGGTTTTTATGGAAAAACCTTTACAACCATAGCAAACTTCACGATTTTTAGCAGGTATAATGTTAACCCAAAGACTGTTTATAGGAAGTGGACGAAGTCACCGTGACGTCACTCGTTGGTTTGTGGACTAAGGTTTTGAGTTCAGCATTTTGGCCATTCCCATCTTGTGTTTTTGGAAGCAGAAGTGACGAGAGGGTGGAGCTAAGTACAACGGAGCAGTGGATCAGACATTATTCGTCTTACTTCCCCTGAACTAAAAACACGCTGTGAAAGGGTTAACGCTGCAGCCTGTATTTACCACGTTCACCATCTTAAGTAGCGAATTAGCAACACAAAGTACAAGTGAGGCTGCCGTCATGTCACCGTGCCTTTAGTTTTGCAGGCATTTGGTCATAAACCAAAGCAATAAAATGTTGACCTGATTATGGCACTAGATGAAGTCAGAAGACCAAAGTTATTACAATTCATCTTCTAGTGAAGATCGTGTATCCCGTGCATTTTTAGGAAACGCTTGATATAATATGCAGCAGAGGTTTCTATGATCAGAAGCACACATTTCCATTAATTTAGCCGCCCTACGGTCAAGTTCCGGCTGCTGGTGAAGGACGACGATCCAGCATCATCCAATACTATTAGGTATCCAAACCGTACCACCTGTAAAGAGCATCAATAATCCCCTTCTTTTGGCTAAAAGCTACCAGCAGGCACACTCCTGCTGATAACCGCAGACAGAAAAATCGTGTTTAAAGCCAAACTCTGAAACTAAATACTACAGTCACATCAACTGTGGTCAACCACTATTTCCTCTTTCATCACTGATAATTTGACTTGATGACTGTTCCACTTCATCCATCAAGACCACACAATAAATTATATATTATTGACAGCATTTCACCACTAATCAAAACTTTACTCCTTCCACTTTTCCAGCTCTGGCTTTTCTCACTGATAACCCCCAAGAAGATGAAAAAAAATGTCCAAATCATTTGGCAGGACTTTCAACTGCAGAGTAAGCATATGGGGAAGAAAAGGGATGAGTGAGCACTGCAGACGAATTTGAACCATTTGTCCAAGCAAATTGAATAACAGTTGTGTTAAAATACTTTATTGTAGTGTTTACTGGGCTGGAAGGGTTCAATGGCATATTTTATATGGATACAAAATGGTTAACGGCTTTTTTATGGCTCGCCATTCATTCCAGTTGAGGAATCAAAGAAGAGACAGCGCTGCCATTTCACTGTTAAAGTTCACCAGGGTTTTCTTTGGCTCCGTTTCATAAAACACGCCTGGACAGGATCCCGTTTCTCACATTAGAGAGTAAATTGTCTCCAGAGATCCCACATGCACCTGAAGACGGACATGTTCTGTCCAAAACTGAAGTTTCCAACAGGTGCACAGCCATTGAACAGAATATTGCAATTTGCTGTGTTATTTCCAGAGGCAGTTTACATTCACGAGTAAACAATTAAAACAATTATTCAACTATAGAACGTTTTGTGTTTAAGCTTTTGGGGTTCTATCTTTAGAATAATTTCGTCCAAAATGATGGGAAATTGCATGGTTATAGACAAAACCCTTAAATTTTCCCCCCCAGCACCGAAGCCCTCGAAGAACTAAGAGTAAACCCCGGGATGGTAGTTATCATTTTGGCAAATAAAGTTAAAATTGATGACATTGATTTCAAGGATGTGTTAAAGAGAGCTTGAATTTCCAATCTTGTTTTGAGATTGTCTCCAATCCTCTATTTATTCAGACCACTGCTTTTCCCACCAATACATTGTCCCAAAATGGGGATTAATATGATCAAACGTTCAAGAATCGCCTTAATTATGGCTGAAAATGTTGAACAGAAGAATGTACTTGAATACTTACATAGTATGGGTCTTTAATGATGCGCCGATTCTGTGGGTCATATGAACCAAGAAGCTCAACCTTTGCTGGGTTGTTTTTTATGAGATTTGATCTTCTGTTCAACTCACTGTGAAGACAAGAGAAAGCTGGTAACTTCAGGAGAACAGAAGAAAAACACTTAAATGTTTCAACATGAGACTTCTGGACCAGAAACCAAACTTTCCCTTTTTTTCTGCCATTTAGATATAAGGTGGAACATCCATATCATCCTATATGAATAGCCATAGAGTTATGTACTTCCAATAATGGACAGAATGTAGCAACACCATGATAATAACATCCATGTGATTAACTTCCTTCCAAAGCACTGACAAACAATAGTATAAGCTTTACTCAGACAACAAAAAATACAAGAATAGAGAAAATTAACACCTCAACCTGTTCAAGCCAATCTCAAACTAAAGTAATAATATGAAAAACTAAAGACGGTTAAACTATTATTAATCGCTTTCAAGGTGACGACAATGAGATGGGCTTTGTAAGGACAACTAAACATGGACAGAGTGCCTTTTGTCTAAGACAGGGTCTAATTTTCTCAGTCTGGTCAGCTTAACATTTGTGGATGAAAAAAAAAAAAAAAAAAAAAAAAAAAAAACATGAAGTGGGAGAGAAAGGGGAAAAACCTGCCCAAAGAGCAAAGACGAGGCATCCAAAGAACTCAGTAAGCTGCTTACAGATCAGATCTGCCATAGGCATGTGATCTCAAAATGATCCCTAAACGTTCAAAGTATCAAAAAATATCCCTCCCCCTGACCTTTGGAAAGAGCTTAAGAAAGGACATTGCTCATTAAAAGGAAGGCATTCACCTACAAGTTAGCTATACTCAATGTTACCACCATTTTGATGTGCATGTGAAGGAGTAGCACAGATCCCTACCACGACAGGACAACCTAGTTTGACCCCTTTCGAGGCAAATGTTTTCTTGATCCCAGGCTTCCTTTGGTGAGCCAAGACACTTTCAGAAGCTGTGTCAGCCTATGAGCTACATACACAGATATAATAAACTGTGCTGCTGTGGGCTGAATAAAATGTACCTCAAATTGCTCTCGTCCATGCAGAGAAGGTACTCGAAGCTCATGAAGTCGTCGTTGGTCACCTAGAAGGAGAAATGTAGGGGGAAAAAAACAAATGTTACTTCTGGCTTTGTACGGGGACACAGTACGGTAGAGCCTCTCTATGCTCCTTCAGAGAGAACCGATCATTTCCAAAACAACAATAGAGGCTCTCATAAACCTTAAATCTTTAATAGAATTAAATGTCAAACTAAACATTAGTGGCGGAGTCCGCCATTCCCGCGCTGGACTCTGTCTTCACACGCTGTCGGGATTTACAGGGAACGAAGCGTGACGCTAACTCAGTGTTAGTGTTTTATAATTTAGTTAATTGATACCAGACTCACAGTTTATTGTTCACTCTCTTAACCCTGTACAAGAGCTGTTTTGAGGTTCCCCGTGGAGTTTTTTTACGCTACAGGATTTAAAAAAAATCTCGGCTTTGCAAATGTTTTTTGACGAAAGAAATGTAATCAACATGTTTGTTAGACTACAAGAATACGTACAGTGAGAATGTAAACATACATTTTGTTTGTTTACAAGAAAACTCCCCAGGGCACCATTACATCACTGCACATTTCCTACTGCTGCTGTTTCACATTAAAAGCTTTCAACTGGCGGAACACAGGGTGGCTTTTATTGTGACGTGTGATGTATTCGTAATCACGGTTATCTCTGATGGAGACGTTACTGTGATCTTCTGTAATGTGGTAAACCTCTTACGCCGTTTGAAGTATGAAATCAGATTATTGTTAACTCACTTATTTGTTAAAAAAAACTTGAGTTTAGTGCAGTTAGCCACACTGTAAAGAGATGCAAAAGTTCTCTTTTGTTGTTGTTGTATTTCTGACAAAAAAAGCTGCTCAAGGAGCTTTTGTTGGCGCATTAAACCACACCTGCTGTTGCAAATAAACCACAGCTGAAATCTTCAGGATAACAACTTTGTAGGGGGGGTGTTAAGAAAAGTGTTCACTGTTTATTGGAACGAGAAGAAAACCAGATAGCACCCTGAATAGTTTGGGGTTTTGAGAGTCAGTTTATAGGAATGCCAGACGAGTGAAAGAAGAGAGGAACAAAAGACATAAATAAAACTCCTGCGATGCTCCAGACGTTGATATACAGACAGATTCAATCACATAAACAGCTGTGGCCATTCATATATATAATATCTGGCTGAGGGCAAGCTGGGAGTCTGAGCATAGCAAAGTCCGCTAATTCAAAAGAAGGTAAGATGCCCGAACCACCTCAACTGGCCCCTTTCGATGTCCCCAACCTTCCTCGATTGTCTCTGCATTATGTCATCAGTTTAACATATTGGCAACTCAATGAGAACACATTGATGAGTATGAAATCTACATTTCAGCTCTATTAAATCTAATGTTGGGTTGTCAATTTTGAATAAGGCATCACATGCTCCAAATAATTAGTGATGGATCACTTTGGAGCATGTTTGCTTTTTTCAAACGAACATCTTTGTTCGTCATCGTTCACACAGTCCAAAAGATGTGAGGAAGAAGAGGAAAATATAGAGTAGGAGCAAAAGATAGTGGCAGAAATGAAAAGGGTGATAAAAGAAAAGAGGAGAGAGCAAGAGGTTGTCAAAGCTCATTGTGTAGATTTGGCTGGGTTTAAGCCAAGGGTTGAGCCTCCCCATCCCTGCTTTGAGGAGATTAGACGAGGATCTGACCAAATGGTTTGCAGAGAGACAAACCAACGAGACGGAAGATCTCAAGCACCGGGTGAAACCCCCGAGTTCTCTCAGGGAAACATAAAAAGACAGAGGATAAGCCCAAAGGCCCTATATGGACAAAAATGTTATTGTAATTTCAGACCTGTTTCAGGATTTGAAACTAACACAACACAACAACTGCTAGATTGTCTTCATCAATATTTCATGCACACAGGTGCCATCATTTTACAGAGCAGTATAGAGACAGACCTGGCCAATGGGTTCACAATCAAATATACATTACGCGTAGGCGGTTTCTATTTTTTCATACCATCATATCTTCCTGATATTTCACTGAGAGGTGCCTGATCGCTTTGTCGCTAAAATGAGAACAGCTGGTCCACTTTAAAAAGGTCAGCCCACCTTAAATGAGCCTGAGCCAAAGTTAAATTCCCCTGCACTGCTACGTTCACAGCTGTAACGTCACTGCTAACGCTACGCACACAGTGGGTAGCTACGACACCGACGCATCGGTGGGCTGAACGGAGATGATATGGCAGACTGGCAGTTGAATAAAATCATGTGGCTACAAACTGCTTTTGTAGTTGGAAGCCTAATAATTCCAAAATACCCCGAACACGTCCTGTAACATCATCCCCACCACTAGTAGTCGCCATGTTTCTGAGCCGAGCTGCCTGTTTACCCAGTGGAGAACGACCTCTTGTGGCGCGTACTGTGAACTACGATACATCACATCAAAACAGCACAATAGAAAGCAGAGCAGCTGTATTCATGATGGTATTTAAAATCATACCGTCGGGATTTTTGAATACCCTGGTATCCGGTAACACCAAAATACTGCCCAAGTCTCATACAAAAAAATATTTCCAACATAACACTATTTTCGCAAAATACATAAGCCTTTTTACATAAGCCTGTAAAATGATGAAAACTGCCATTTTTAATTGATACATTTTTTTACATTTTAAAGCTGTAAAGTTAAATATGGAGGGCTGTTGCTGCACTTCATGTTTTAAGACAAAGTTTAAACCTGTGTTGTCTGGAACAAGTCACTTGATCTTTTAAAACCTATTTTTGTGTCCTTACATGTTGAACCCCCGGCTGTCTCCTGTAGATTTCAACCGACCTATCACAGGAGGTCACTGTATCTGAGGTTTAAACTCAACCAGCTGAACGTTGTTTAGAGAGAGTGAAGTACAACTCTGTTTAAAAAGGCATTTCTACTGTTCAAATCATTCCAATACGAGATAAAAAGTCATATATTTCCCCCGACATGGCATGATTTAGCCATATCTGATATAAATGTAATATTGTGGAAGCACTCTAAATGTGACAATAATTTAAGAAGCCAAATGGAGGCAAATAAATGGCAACTAAGTAATAATTTACACATGCACTGAACAGGCCACCAACTTGCAAGACAGGCTCCCAACAAAGCTTCATTTTAAGAAACACAAGCAAACTGAACAGGCTTCGTTGTTACACAGACTTGTGGTATTTGACATTCCTCTTAAATCTGCAATGTTGGCTGGACCTTACATCCAGTTCAGCTGAAGTTCAGATGAACCTGTGCTTGTTTTGACAGAGCAATCGTGTGGCGCTTAGTATGCAGCTGCAGGTTAAAGTAGAAATAAACCTGTATTAAACTAGCAAAAGCTACAGTATGCTAAGTAACAGATTAACAGCACCTGGGTGTCTAGTAGGCGTCATCTTACAAACATCCCACTCATACACACAAACATGAATGAGGTGAGAGGAGCCACGGGGACGTCTGGTTGTACCTGTCGGGCCCTGTGGCTCGTCTTAATGCCATGCTTCCTTAGGCAGGCCAGACCGCGGGCATCCGGTGAGCTGCCTATATTCCAGTCAGATGTGGCACCACTGTCTATGACCCACTGCAACAACAGAGAACAAAAAAGGGGGCGCTAACTACCGCTAAGAGAGATGTAGAAGTGAGTGGTCCTACCTTCCTGGCCACATGCTGCATGGGCACGCCATGACTCTTCATGCAGGCTTGACCGCGGTGGTCTGGAGGGTTTCCTATCTCATAGTTGGAGGTGGCAGCACTGTCTATCCTCCACTAGACAGAGTCGAGCACGGGGAACAATAGCACAGCAAAAATGGTTCATATCCTCACGTACAGATATGTGGCGGGTCATACAAATTTGTACTGCCATTAGTTTCCCACTTATATCAGTTAAAAGGGAAAGTTGGGGTGTTTTGCACCACTTAAAACATTTGAACATACCCTTTTATAACAGTAATCAGGGCAAGCATGCTTTGAAAAATGGTCAGTAGTGTGCAGCACTTCTATTCTAGATTCTATGTGCTTGATACTTTGTTTGTGGTGTTATTTGATGACTGTGCTCCATGACATACACCCAGAGAAAAGATTTTTAAAAAGCTCTCTTTGTAAATATATCAAGCTGAAATAGTCAGTAGACATAATATGTCAGTGACCTGTATTATAAATGTTGTTTCGTATGATGTAATGATGGATTAATCATGACATTACCTTGTCCGCAACACCAGAGTCTGTTGCCATCTTACTGAAGACTGCTTCAGCGATTGGGGATCTGCAAATGTTCCCTGTCAAAACCACAAACACAACAAATGTTAACGCCATGTTTTTAAAACTTAAAAAGGAGTTTAAGAACAGTTTTACCAAAAACTGTAACACTTAATAGTATGACGCATAGTGCAAAAGAGAGTACAATATCTGTGTCCAAATGCCTCTCCCGTTTGCGGAAGAGAGGAGTCGAGGATATACATATACAACGAGAAGGGCCGCAGGTAAAGATACTCAGCTACTCAGATACTATGATGTTTTATCACACCTGGCTTTACACCAGATGTACATAAATGCGCAACGTTACCGGCTAGCTAACTAATTAAGGTGCTTTTTGTAACAAACGTTTATTGAAAGTTCACAGCAGCGACTTAGCTAGCGGGTTACTGGTCATATATGATGTTTGTTTCACACTCTATGAGGATTACATGCGCTTCTTTGGGGTAAAATGACTTGTTATGAGTTCTTACCCAAGCAAACGAACAAAACAGACTTCTTTCCAGTGGCCGCCATGTTGTTTAGACGGTCTTGTATGACGTCGCAGGTGGTGGCCAACTCGTGCCTGAACAAAAACATTGAAAACCTTTTTAATGAATGTGGAATTTATTGAATTTGTGAAAATACTGCAGATATAGAGGATTTGTAAAACACAACATTCCATCATTGTTAAAATTATGAAGTGCTCTCTTACCATGGACTGTTTACCAGAAACATTTTCTCAAACGCTTATTTCGGATAAATTTTTCAGTCGTCACAAATAGTTACTAATTATCTTGTAAATTAAACTTTAAATTAGTTTAAAACTATTGGCCATTGTCATTTATAAAATGCGATGCACGTATGCAACTATACAATCAACATTGCCCATGCACAACATTACAATGCTACTTACAAATGAATGCATCAGAAATAATAATTCAATAACATAAATAATATATTGTAACACTCCTTCCTCTTCTGCTTAACTGGTACTTTTATTTTTAATAATTAAATGCATTTTACTGATAATATTTGTAGACCGCAGGTTCATTCTTGTTACAATGACTTGTTCTCAACTAATTCATTTTTATGTTTTTTTAGTTTTTTTTAACATCGTTAAGAATAGAGTATAAATATATACATTACAAAGCTTCTTGACCATTGGTATAGTTTTGACAAGAAAGCACAATTTGGGGATGATATGAAACATATGTGAATCTGGTTTACTAGATTGTAATATTCACAAATATATGTTGTTGTTCGAGTACTTAATTCCAGCTTTGAAGTGCAAACAATAGTTAATGTTAGAGTTAATCACCTCTACAAAGGTCATGAGAAAATCCTGGACCAAGACATTCATAACAACAGATTACAGGGTGTTGAACAACATTCTCTCTGCACTTAAACTCGAGTTTCGCCTCACTTTTGGAAAATTCCCAATAGCAGCTGAAAAAAATGAAACAATGATGTTTGTGACATTCATGTCGGTTTAAACCACAGAGTCAGCGCCGTCAGTAAATGGAGATTGACATCAGCATGGCGGCACTGTGCAACAAGTGCAAAGATTTACAGTAATTCAAGGCCTGAGTGTCCCTATAACTATATCAAAGGCAAGGTTGAACACTTCTCTTCTAAGGAAATATTGAAAGATACTGGAAGGTTAACCTGCAACCATTGAAGCATGGGAGACAGGTTTAAGCCTATGATTTACCTCTGAGGAATGTCTGGGGATGTCTGTTTCATTAATAAAGCGTGGGGAAAAAGCAGAGGAAAAGAGCGTAAATGTCTTAGATTTAACAACAAATCCTCTCCTTCCATGCCAACCGAGTCCATGCACGTCATAGGAAGCGTATAATTTATGTTTCGTCGGGTCATACTAGTAAAACAAAAGGTTCTGGATAAGTAATTCTACTGGTTGAATTGCAAAAAATAACCGATCCCAGCAAAAAGTAATTTTAATTTAAGTGACTTAGGTGTACCAGAGTAATCAGTATTCTGTTTTATCCCTGGCTCCCCTGGTTTTATAGGATATCTGAGGTGAATGTGCCATTCATTTACCTGCCTTTATCTGTCTATATTTATCATATAATTGTCTGACCGATTGGACAATAAAAACAAAACAAAACACAGGATGAAAGGAACTCAGAATATGGTATTGCCTGTATTTGTTTTCTTTAAACATGCTATCTGAAAAGAAAACAGCATTACAAAAAGAAGTTGAACCATTTTGCAAAGAATGGTTTCAATTTTATTTATGGCTGGCTCAACGGTTTAAGGGAGCATTAAATTGATCTTGGAAAATATGTTCCAAATTGACTGAGAAAACCAGTAAATAGCAGCTTTTTATTGCTGGTCGTAACCTCTCATTAGCGAGTTTACATTCTTAAATCCTTTTATGCAGTGCACAACAGCTCTGTGTGGGCAAACATGTGATTGTATTGCTTTGTACCCAAACCAACATGCAGCCCTGTTCTCTCTCACAATTAGCCTCCACCTTTATGTGCACATCTGCAGCATGCTAAAAACATCTGCAAGCCCTCCAAACTGTTACAATTATGGTCAAAGTCTCACACATATGGAAATAAAGTCAAACTGATATTTGAACTCTTTTTGTGCGTTATAAATATAAACTATATTGATGCAGCTTTACAAAACAGTAGCAACAGCATCACAAACCACTCAACACAAACGTTAATGCAGAATCAACACCACTCCAGAACAGTTTCAACAAAAACTGAACATTATATCCTTCATAAAGGGATTTATTGCATAACTGTTGAATTAGAATGTATTAGTTTTAGCTATGTGTACGTAATAAACTGGCAACTGAGTTTGCATAAATTCTGAATACAGGCTATTTGTCTTGATCAATCACAAACATTCCCTTGTTGTCCCAGAGTTAGATTTTTTTTTATCTGCTTCACATAATGATGGATTCAAGGGAACAGAACTTGCCCGTCTGCCGAACACTTCCATTTGATGTCACTGACTTTATATCCACAGGGTTGTCTGGGAATGTGTTTATTGTTAAAGCTAGCTTTGTTTTTTATGAAGGGCACGTCTTATTTTCAAAGTCTTGATCTGATGTCGCAGTGTCACTGGTTCATATTCCTGGTGTGTTGCAATTTGTCACTGCAGTGAAAGACTAATCATTTCATTGTGAACATGGCTAAAATAAAATGGATTGGTTGTATTCCATAAAGAACTTCCTCTTTGTGTTTGTGCTCATTATCCTGCAAACTTGACAAACTAAAGTGAGATATAAATAGATTTTACATTAGTTTGGACCTGTTTTGAGAAGGAAATAATTATCTTGTGCTGACTTTACCAGGCTGACTACATTGTGTGATGTATAAAGGTATTGACAATAACGGTGATATTTAAAAAATGTAATAATTTTAATAACACACATGTTAAATTATCTTAATAATACGGTTAAAAAAGACAAAATGCACAATAAACAATGGTAAAGATGAATTTGACTGATAGCATTATTTATTTATTTTTCTATAGCTATCGCAATAATATTGTAAATTCCATGACCAAGACAATCATGTTGTGAAAATCGGATATTGTGACAGCCTAATTCAAATAAATATCACTTGATTTTATTATTTTTACAGTTTATGCTGACCTCCAGTGGTTTCTGCAGCATGACATCACAGCTGGGTGTGGTTACAGGTGCAACAGAGCACACTTCTTACCCATCAGTCATCAGTTAATGTGCTAGTTTACAGTCGCAAAACCAAAGTCATGGTCGGGGTTTAGAGAAGCCTGGTTTCCCCAGGAAGATGTATTGGCCTTGTAAGTTAACCAGGTTTCTAATCAGCTTTATATAGTACTTACCTGTGCAGGTGGTAGGTTACAGTTCCCATACAATCCCATTCACTGAAATGTAAGGGGGAGAGATGAGTTTGCAGCTTATGAGGCTGCAGAAAACCTTTGTTTGGTTTTCTTTTTCTTCAGTTTAATTTATTTTTGTTGAATTTCCCAGGTTATAATTTTGCCCACTGTTTCACTAAATATTTTGTTCATGAATGCCAAACCTTTTTTTGCACTACTCCTGCTTATCGATCTAAATCTTCCTAAAACATCCCTTTTTTTAAAGATTGCCAATGCCAAACCACTTCAGCTGACCTTTTTATTGAGTGGCAGCACTACATTTTGAACCAAAACAGCAAAGTTGTGGGCAGTAAAATCAAAAATATATGAGCTGACATACGCTCCATAAAGGCTCCATAGAGCTGAGAGGAACTGCAGATTCAAATAATGGTGTTCTGTGCTTTATCGTGCCAGCGACCCATGTCATTAATTTGATCAGTCTAATAGAAAAACAGCAGTTTTACATTTTGACATTTTATCATGTGTGAATAAAATGCATTCTCCTCACTGTGTTAGATCATTGAAGAAAAGTATGTTACTGTCTTAAGGCCAAAAGGAAAAGAATAAGTAAAAGGAAACTAAAACCTTTAATGAAAAAACACTGCACAGTAATCCTGCAAACACAGTTGTTTACTGAAATACAGTAAGATGTGTTTGTGATACACAGACTAATTGAGTGGGAGGTGACCTTATATTCTTCGTAATTAGCACTGCATACATAATCACCAATTATCAGTTGCTTTACATATGAGTCAAACAATAACTGCAAGCAAAAGATGCCTGCAGCAATTATATTTCATAATTTGCAAGCCTTTTTTTAATTGAGTCAGCCAGTTTCATTCACGTCTCAATGATGAGTGGTAATTATTGTGAATGACTCAATAAAAACACAATTAGCAGATGATGCAGTGTCACTTTAAACTGTAGACTATGTTTTTCCAACTAGCAGCATGAGTTACAAATTACATAAAAGTGAGAGGGCCCCGGGGAGAAGTGACTAATGGTGACAGTGTTCATGTTCACTCTCATCCCCTCCATCCCTCCAGTTGTTTTCCCTTTCTCTTTTATACAATTAAGAAGAAACAGATTTCCCCAATAAGTCAGAACACATGCCAAATGATTGTAAATGCTGTCACTGCACTTAGTTTCAACTCCAACACTTAAAACAATGTGACATGGGAGGTTTTTTGAAGTCGTGTTTCCGCTTGCACCCCTGAGCCAGAGGGCAGATTGACAGGTGTGTGTGTGCAAACGTGTATTTGTGTGTTATATTTTCAGATGCTTGTGTTTGAGTTTTTTTTGCCATGCAGGTGGCTAGATGGCAATATATGTCTGTCAGTTATGCAGTGAAATATCACAACAACTCAACACATGTAACATTTGGTCATCCCTTAGCTTTTCAGGACCATCATCAGACTAACTCAGCAACGGGAGGTTGGTGACTGTTATGGCCACTTCTTCACAGAGACCTGGCTCCGTCATGGCATCCTGGATTAAGCTGCACTTAACAGGCAGACCGCAGGAGAGAGCGCAGGACTCCAGTGGGACGAGAGGAAGCGGACTCTGTGTTTACTTCAATGATGCTTGGTAGTTAAAGTTCATGGGAAATATTCCCAAATTTTAAGGTTAAGATATCTGCCCATAGAATTGTTTTTGTTGCTGCTGTTTACATTCCTCCTGGTGCAAGTTAAAAAAATGCACCACAGTTTACTACTGTTTTTGTTTTGTTTTGTTATTTATCTTGTGTAGCAAATGGACTAGGACTGCATTTCGTTGTGCAACTCTGTGTTGCATAATGATCCTTGAATCCGTCAGTGGTTAGAGCGGATCCTCCTTTAGCCACACGCTTTGCAGTTCATTCGCCAGCTCCTTTACATTCCGTATGTCGAAGTGTCCTTGAGCAAGACACTGGAACCCAAGTTGCTCCCCGAGCCCTTTACAGATGCCCACTGCTCCTAAATGAGTTAAATGCCGAGGTCAAGTTTCATGTATGTAAATATAAGACGATTGAATTAAGCTTGGACTCGTAGTCCTGTTCAGACAAGAAGCCAGTTTATACACATTTTTATAAGAATGACTTGTGCTCATTGACAGTAACACATCTTGCATACCTCTGCCTAAGCACCAGACCTCAAAATCGGAGAACTTCTCACAAGGGCGTGAGATCATAATTCATTTGAAGCGGAGGTCGAGGAAGGATAAAGTACAAGTAAATACTGCAGAATCCCCAAGTGAACTGTTCAGTCTGGTTCAGGGAAGCCAATCAAAAGAAATTATAAGAATGAATAAATGCAACACCACAAAAAAACAGATGTGGTTTGGTAATTATGTAAAAACATTGAAAAATGAGCTTCAGTGATTTGAGGGGAATCAATAAAAGTGCATTAAGGTTGTTGGTTTCTGTTGGCGGTTACTGTTGGGCTTCTTACAAGCATATGAAGTGCTGGCATTGAATATTATAAAACCACATATACAAGGTTGCATAAATACATGGTCATGCTTCTTTCTCTCTTTTTCATCTAAGCACTCAGTCAATCTGCCCGTGTCCTTTGAAAGCTTCAGAACATGTTTTGAAACTTGTTAAGGAAAGGAGATGGATGGAAATATCACCATTTAATTCAAATTCTATTCCATTCATAAAAACTTTATTGACATGCATGTTCAGGTTACATTATTACCAAAGCATACATATTATTTAATAATTACGTTTTAGACAAGAAAAGTAAAAAGATAATAACTAGATAACAAATATACTCTCTTACAGATGTAATGAATCAGAAACATTTACTACAGAGCCATGCACTCATTCCTGTATCATTGGTCTAGTTTGGATTGGTTTCGGGGGCAGCATTACCTGTAGGGAGCACATTTTAGGCTGTAGAAAACCCTCTGCTGGGCCTGCGGTAAAGCTGAGGAAAGTTGCCAAAGTGCAGTCACTCACTCAGCAACACTTGGTGGAAAGTGTGTGAAGAAAGAGCCCAGCTGTGCTGAAATGGAGCATTTACGCTGTTGTTGCAAGCTCTTATTCTGTTGCCAAGATTTTCATTTTACATTTTGGTCGATTATCATCAGTCGCAATTCTTTCAAAACACACATGTTGCATATTTGTTTGATCAGCTGCTCTGCCTCTCCTTCAAGATACCGCTATGTGACACCACACCCGCAAATGTTTACAATGTTTACACGCACACTTACACACGTACACAATTAGACATCATCAATGATGATGTGAATGTTTTTATTTGTGTATCTATTTAGGTTACTTAGTGTATATGCACATGTGAAAAAAATCCATTATGGTCTGGTTACGAAGACCAACAAGGCAAGTGCAAGCAGAGTCCAATTGCACATTATACTGTAAACAAAAATAAATGTACTATTCCTTGGGGAGTTATTATTATTTTTACAAGCATGTGGGAATGTTGGAATCTATCAGGGTTTTTTGTCTTATATTATAACTGCTTGTACTGCTGCTTTGACCCAATTAAGTATTGCTAACCTTAAAATAGGACAAGCGTACAAGACAAAGAACTACTAGTAGATTGCACAAATATCAAATTAGTGTTTTATTGTTTTTAATAGTTAGGGTGTTTTCATCGGGGCTTTTTAAAGAGTGTAACTTTCAGGATCCAATTAAACCTCAAAATCAAGTTAGTGTCATTGTTTTTCAAGACGAGTGGAATGAGTTACTGAGCAAATACAAAACCAAAATCTTGAAGTAATAACCCATCAAATGTGTTTCCTCTTTGAGTCTTTAGAATTGCACGATACTGTTTTGATAGCCTCGACACATAAAGACTACATGAATTGGCAGAGGAAAGCATTTATTGCACAACATGTGCACTATAGTGAGCGGCAAACCTATTTTGATGAGTCAGTGTTGCTGGTAAATGGGTTGGTAAAGCAGAGAGTACTATGGAAGAACATACCATTTCGCTTGGCAGAAGATTACATACAATTTTGTCCTGTATTGAGCAACAAGGATAAAGGCCCGCATTTCCTCCAGGACAAGAGAAGAAAAACTCTGCAGCACCGTCAGCTTTCACTGTTCTCACCTGTGATGGTATCAGGTGTACTTTGAACAGGCTTGTGTTTGGTTAAAACTAGCCTTGCGTAGGATGGGTGGGGTAATGTGATCCTGTTGTAATACGTGCTCAGGCAAAGGACAGGCTTGAATGGAATCTTTTTCCTGGGAAGAACGTACACTTAAGGATTACCCACACTTTGGAAATAACTGATTTGAATGTTTGTTCAAACCACAATGGAGGCAACCAGTGATACCACAAAAATCCTGGAGAAGGGTCCTGATTACCTCCGAAAGCAAATGGAACTGGAGAGTGAGACAAGAGGAGGCATGACTGCTGTGGAGAGGCTCGCTGCAAGCAAACTGAAATATGTCAAAAGCAAGCAGGTGGTCAACTCAACTCAGGAGCCAGTGATCAGTCTTGGATCAGCCTCTGTGAGTAGCACTGGGTCTTCCAACTGGAGCTCGAACCGTGGCGGGAATCTTGTCATTGGGAGTAACTCAAGAGCGGCTACATGTGGTTCACAAAACTCCAGCTCGCCAGGGCAGGTACGTCGGTTCAGCTCCAAAAAACGACCAGACTCTCTTCTGCTTCACAGGCAGAAATGTGAGTTTCTGAGAACGTCACCAAAGGACCGGAAACACCATATAACACGCAAGTTGCTGCTCGGCTCTGGGCATAAAAGTGTTCCGTTACGTGAGGCAACGGAAAAGGAGCGTGAAGGTGACCGCAACAAGGAAAAAATTACCACACCTGAGGGAACAGCAAAGGAATGCAGCTCACATGTAGTGAGCTCTCAGTCAGAGAGCAGGAGGAATGGAGCAGCAGAGCAACGCAGCACAGAAAACAGGGATTCTGGGACAAAGGTGACAGCGGGTGTTGTCTGGAAATCTGCTGGTCTCTCTGCTGGTCTCCTAACAGTTCCTGAGTTTGAAACGAGGCCTGGCAAAGGGGTCAGTCGGTCTCACTCTGACATCAGCTCCAGGTACTCCAAACACTTTGCTGACTTTGATGTTTTTTTTAAGTACTGTGGGCTGGGCGGTGAGGTTATTGAGTCTTTGGGGAAGGAGAACTTCTCGGCGCGCTCAGATGAAATTGCAATAAACACCCGGAGTGTCAGCATTTCTACATCAGACGATGGCTTCTCCTGGAACAGTGGAGACAGCGACGGACTGCCGGAGGACAAGTTACATGAAAAGATGGGTCAGGGGACGTCAGTTATTGAGCGCAATGCGAGGATTATCAAATGGCTGTACAGCTGCAAAAACGCTATAGAAACTGGAAAGAAGTTAAGAGACCTCGATTGAGAGGCCTACCTAAGACCTCGACTGTTGTGGTTGATACCAACTCCTTGCTTTTGCCTTTGGAAAACACTGACTTTTGGTTTCACATCTTTGCCTTACCGTATATGTGTGTGTTTGTGTGTCTCTGTGCTTTTATCATTGTTTCCTTTGGTTTCTGTGCATAATGTGTGTGTGTGTGTGTGTGTGTGTGTGTGTGTGCGTGTGTGTGTGTGTGCCAATTTCAGCAGACACTTCTGGGAGAAAAGATTTGCTTCAGTTCAAACTGGCATAAAGTTAGCTGTTACATAAATTGCACAGAAAGCTTTGAGTCACACACAGAAACACAACAGCTGTTATCGTCCAAACATTTTTTATCTTGAAAATATAACAGTATGTTTACTTGTGGTTTACTTTTTATCAAACTGTGCACTCTTCCCAGATATGCACACTTGAAGACACAAACAATGACGTGCAAATCCAGAAGATGCCATGGATTTCAATTTTAGGAGTGGTGAGATTCAGCAAAACTGAGCCACTGGCCAAAAATACTGACTAAAACATTGATATCCACTGATATTAATAGTAATTTAAATGTATTTATTGGAATACTAAATACTTTTGCTTGAATAATTCTCTACAAACTTTTGTCAAGAGTGCATACCTTATTTTACCATGTTCTTGAATGGTTAATAAATCCTTTACTGGGTCAGTTAGAAGCTACTAATAAGAACAGGTGTTCTTCCTTCTTGGGGGTTAATAATGTATTCACACCAAACGTAGTGTAGAGATATAAACATACTCCACATTACCTTAAAGAACAATGACTTAATGCGTATTGAGTCCAGAGTTTTAAGCGAGTGAAACAATGTTGTCGAAGCAAACATGCACTTGCTTTTCAGTTTGCACGGGCTGAAGTTAGGTTTGCTAAACAACACAACATTTGTCATTTGCAACAGTGTCACTCTTTTAAAACTAATTTTGTTCACTGAAAGTGTTGAACGGAATAACCATCAACTCTGTTTCTCTCTCACCCACTCAGAAACGATATTTATGTGAGTATATGCTCATTCCTCAGCTGCACCCATGTTTTAGACACGCCTTTCACTTCTGCAGAAGCCTCGGTGACTATTTCGCATCAAGACAAGTCATTTCCTGCCCTCTCTTGTTTGTTGCCAGAACTTAGAGATACGTCTTAAAATTAAGTTCATGATTCAGTTCGAGAAACGGCCTCTTAACGTTGCATTTGTGGTTCAACCTACAGAAATGTATCATAAGTGCAGAAGGTATAATTATTGACTGCTTGCATTGCTGTAGGTTTATATTATTTCTTCTTATATTGGGATTTGTATTATGTAAAAGGCTTACTGTTACTAATCTACCACTTCAGACTACGGTTTTGCTGCTGCCTGTGTTACGTGTGTTTTATAATTAAGTACTGTACATTTTGCTACACAAATAAAGTTATCATTTTTCGAACATAATCTGTTGCTAAAAGGTATTAGTGGTAACAAGTAGTGTGCACATTTCATCCTCTATTATGTATAGGATTCTCTGAATATACATAGTACAATTAATGGATCATCAATAAGGCCCACTGTGGGCTGCTTGTATTTGATGAAAACATTTTGAATTTACTGTATGTGGCCTAAAGAGGGTGGTATCTGACAAGATACGACTGAACCTAATCACTGCGTTAAAATCTCAGCAACTCTTAGCACGCCAGTCTTACTGAACTATTGACTGCACTGTAATCACAGGCCCAGAGGAACAATAACCACACATAAACCAGTCTGAATGAATGGATGCTTGAAATGCAATGCTATTTTTAGTTTGTTAGAGGAAGACAAAGAAAAAGATTTTGCAGTATTTTGCCAAAAAAAAGGTGAAACATCTAATGGCAGCTTCAGACCGTATCCCTCCTGTTACAGATAAACATGTATACCTGTCGACTTGAGACTCTTTTAAGTCAGATTTAGACCGGACCCTTAACGGTTTGTGATTAAAGATACTTCTTTTAACTCAATTTGTGTCTGCTTTGGTTTTTACTCAAAAGAAGTTCAATAACCTCATTTAACATCTGTGAAAATGACACCTGCCTCTTCTCCCTCATTATTAAATCCAGCATCTATATGCAAATATTTTTCCAATCAAAGGTTAGACTTATGGATGCCAGATGTCTCCTACCTCACCAATCTTAGTGCATGTGTACAATATAGGTTTCACGTTTCCAGATCACACTTGTATAAATTGTTAACTGATCATGACTGGCCTCCGAACTAGTTGATGTCACAAAATTGTGCCCGCATGCACACCTCTTAAACTCAGATTAGCAACCTTCCACCTTCAACAGATGAATGTGAAAACAGCCTTATTGTGTCAAACTCTGACTTAAATTATTAGGCCTAAGAATTGAGAGGACTTGGTGCCAGCTATGTAAAACTCCCAAAGCTTTGAAAGAACAATGTTGATTGTATCATTTTAGCATTCAGACTGGCTGGATTACCTGCATCCTGATTTGGAATTTGCATGTTAAGAATTATTATGTGAATAACTATAAGGCTTGAGACTTGATTTGGACTTGAAGGGACATGAGACTTGACATTGAATATTTGCCCTTCCCCCCCCCCCCCCCCCCCCCAAAAAAAATATGTGACAACTAACAGAAATGGTATTCCTAAACTCTCACAATAAGGTTTAAATGATACTACTGTACATATCAGAGCAGTTCCCACAACAGTAGAACAGTGACCTAGATATAATTTCCCTTACTATGAGGTCTGTGATTGATAAAATATTGTATTAATATTAAAACTCTTTCAAATGTTCCTTAATAAAACCCATCATCACTCCCACAGCCGCCCAGTCGTCTGTTTTCAACCCCCATCTCAAAATCAAAACAACTACATGTGCGCAGTCCTCTGTCACGTGTAGAAGAAAGCCCCAACAAAACAGAATGGATTAAAAAAAAAAAAGTATTGACAGCTGCAGCCAGCCAATCAGCGACGCGACTCTTGGTAGCAACCAGAGCCGTTTAATGAGAGTCACGTCATCTCCGTTCACTCCAATGGACCATTTTTTCCCCAGCAATGGCGGATCATGGAGCGACCCTTCTTCTATGGGAGCGTCTTAATAGTTGCTATACTACTATATACTATTAGTGCCATAGAGTTACAGTGAAATTAACCTTTAGTGATGCACTTTTAAAAGGTAAGTAAAATAGAAAATATTTAAATATCTATTATAAATAGCTCCTTGTAGTAATAAAATCCTAAAGATACCCCTACCTCAGGGCCACCGTAGTTCTCTTACACGTTTGATAAGGGACGGGTGAACGGAGGGGAATGATGTTGCTTGCAATCTACAACATCACCGCTAGATGCCACTAAATCTCACACAATCTTCCTTTAAACAAGGGAACTTTAGCCTAAAAACAATGTCTACACGGCAGGTAACTCTCTGGGTCTTTCTTATTTCCCGATGTTGTGCCTTCTCGAGTCCTCGCTTCTCGATCCTCCACCTTGTGACCCGGAAATAGATCTCAGCACTGCATCTTGAAGGACATCCCAATTCATATAATGCATCTCGAGAAGCAAGGAGGAAGGATTGAGGAGGAAGGATCGAGGAGGCTTGACGGAGGAGGAATTAACCATTCTTCAAACTTTCTGCCGTTCAGTTTATGTAGAACCTCGTAAGGAGCTGTTTTATCCACATTTCTGATGATACTGATGTTTTTATACCTGTTGTTTTGAAGTTCCGTTCACGCGACTCTCGCTTTCTACGGCTCTGGTCTCTGATAGCGACACAATAAAAACAAATTTCGTCCAATCAGAGAGCAGCAGGGGGGCGTGGACGAATTCTAGTCCGTGTACTGTGTGTGTACTTCCGTCAATATCTCCTGCACGGCAGGCAAAAGAGACAAGAAGCAGGAACAGAAAGAGACGGTACAACAAACGAGTCGCTAAAGGTTTGTTTTGCAGACAGTCCCGATGCTGTTATAGTGCAGTTCATATTCTTTATTCTCGTCCTGTCGGGATTACATGCGTTGAACCGACTGACAGCTTCTCTTGTTTTCATTTTTTTACTGTTGATCGCTAAAACGACGTTGACAGTGTTTGCTGTTGTGTTTTTCCAAAATGCTTTAGTGAAATGCGTCATAGTCGTTGTCAAGGGGGTGTTTTTAAAGCAATTTGGCTCACTTTGCATCCGTGTATTTACCTGTAATATCGCGTTATTCTTAATAAATCTAATGGCCCTCTTGTTTATTTAGCAGCTGTTGTCAGACAACCTGATAAGAACCCACTGTTGTGGACTACAGACTGAATCTACGGCAGCAAAGAAAGGCCATATTAGCTGGTTTTCTTGTCCTAATTGAACCACCACTGAACACTTATTGTGGAAATTTAAATATCACAGTATTTATAACAATGCAATGTATTTATAACATGTGTTTTGCATTCTTCTCTTTGAAATACCCAGACGGTCATTTCAAGTGGTGCAATTTCAAAAACTTGGATAAAATTGTCCCCGGTTCCCAGTCGCTCATTTCTACTTATTTTTCTTGGATCAAATGTCTGACAGAATATAATTTGACCCTCCAGGTGTTTTAGGTTGCAGCGACCCTCTCTGCTCAGAGTCCCCCCCCCCCCCCCACAGCTAAAATGCCTTTCTTGGGCAAAGACTGGAGGTCGCCAGGATGGAGCTGGACAAAGACGGAGCACGGCTGGAAGAGGATTTTCCTCTATGGACACGAGTTGGAAGATAACAGAGAAATAGACTTGAAAGGGTAAGATCGTATCTTATTCACCTTTGTCATCTATATCTGCCTTCAATGATTTTGTTACCATTGTCAAACTTTGTATGGTCAATGAGTCATTAATTAATAAATGAGTAATTAATTAATTAATCAAAGTAGGTATTTCTTTTTGCATATATTTGTAAACTTTGATTGTGCCTTAATAGATTCAGAGATTTGAGGACTCATTACAACATGTAACATAGCTGAACAACAATGTTTCCCTATCAGGGTATATTTGCTTATTCTAATACAAATACTTCAATAAATTGAAAACTAAAATACTTAAGAAACCTGGAGTTTGCTCAGAATCCAGCCAAAGTAAATTACATTTTATTAGCCCTGCATCTCTTCTTTAAAACTCTAATGATTGATTACAGCTGCCAAGGCTCGCTTTGAGTGTTGACTTGGTTCTCAGACATCTTCCACTTTCCACAAAATACGACAAAAGCATTCTAGGGAGAGGATTCCCCTTATTAAACAGAGCATAGTAGAAAGCTGACAGGAAATAAAGGCAGAGAGATGGGTTATGGCAGTATGTTGTGGTTGTGCTTTAGCGATGACTAGGAATGATCTATTTTGACCATGGATTGTTGTTGTTTGCTGTGGTTGGTGTATTTATGAGAGCTGCAGTATGTGTTAATGCCTGGCGCCAAACCAAATTCCCTTTTTGGTAGAAACGCTTAACAGATCAGGGAAAAAGGAAGAGTGGCAGGGAGTCAGTTTTTAGTAACAGTGGTAAACGTGCACTGATGAGGCCGTAGCTACTCGGTGCCAGAAAGACAAATCATTGGGCTTATCGGGGCTGCAGCAGAAAGTCTTTGATGAAGTAATTAGCATCCCACAATTGCAACCTGTTATTGGCAACACAGAGTAAAGGGTTGTGTTTAGACACTCGGGGCTAATTTTACATCAGACCAACTTGTCACTGTATCCTGTTAAAGAAAAGATACATATTCAAAATAATTAATGTGGAAGTGTGGTTGGAAGACTTAAAAGTAGCAGGAACTACCACAGAGGCGGTTTTGAGTACTTTGCCAGGTGTTTATCTCTGTGGGCGTACGCCCGTGGACCGATTAGGCGTCACAAATCTTTACAGGTGTGAAGTTGAGATCAAAATGAAGTCGGAGTTGTAAGATGGGTGTGGTCTGAGCAAAGGCGCCGGTTGTAGGGGGGTAGGAAGAGGCCATTGCCTTGTCTAGTTTGTTTATACTGTACATGGCTTAGTAGTTCTTTGTGCTGCTTGCATTTATTTGACTCTCAACGTCTCTTGTATGCTTCAAATATGGATGTACAAGACATAAAATGATGTGCAGTTGCAGTGTTCAGCGGGGATAGCAAGATGCACTAACCAGCTCACGAGCAAACAATGCTTAAACAGCGAGCAGCAGGCTGGTGAGCCGCCTGACGGGGTTAACTCGGCACCAGTTGGCGATATCTCCCTCGAGCCACACGTGTCGCCTCATTAGCTTTCACAAAAAGGCGCAGGACACGACATCAGAAAAATAACTAATGACATCATCTGTTCAAATTGGCCGCTCTCCAAATGCATTGTCAGTCACAAAGGACAGTGACTTCATGCAGCAGAGGGTGCATTCGGCAGACTAACGCATGTAGGCCAGAAAGAAAGAAGAGCATTGTGATGGCCACTGGCATGGTGCAGGGTGTTACAGAGGTAGTTTAGATCATCATGTATCTCTTAATGTTAACAATTATTATTATCTGCAAACACTTTACTGTCAATCACTGGGACACATCTCTTGGTCATTTTGCAAATGCAATAAATGCAACTTGACTGCATCTATCTAACAGTGAGTAAGAGAAGTGTAACAGCTAAATGGCAGTCTACTTGCATACTTGTTTTCTTCCTTGTCCATGCTGACTTGCTAAATATCCCTCGTCCCCTTTAACTCATGTGTTACAGGGTATAGTTTAATCATTCACAAATCCTTCTGAACATTCCTGCTGCTGCTGCTGCTGTGTGTGTGTGTGTGTGTGTGTGTGTGTGTGTGTGTGTGTGTGTGT